TTTTTTTTTTTTTTTTTTTTACTTGTGCAGGTGTGGACATGCGAACACGGACAAGTCTTTGACTGGGACTTTTGGCCTTCGGAACCACCATTCTTAAGTTGTTTGGATGGAGTACCCACTTTGAAATCATGTATAAAGACCATCACCGTTTGTACAGATCATTAGTTTTTTTTTAGCTGGAGTATTGGTATTGGGCGCCCTTGAGCAGAAGTTTTATGTTCTTTACTAATTAGAAAAGTTGGGTGTGCGTCCTTTAGAGTTGCTTGGGTCCAGGCACAAAGGTTTAGGTTTATACTGAAACCTTTGTCTTCTTTTATATCGTTTTAGTTTTGCTTGGTTTAATTGATAGGTACAGTCTGTTTGTATAACTTTAGAAACTACCGTGTACTTACTTTCACTCTTTTGGAATGAATTTTTCACTTTTCATAAAAAAAAAAAGAATAAAATGGCATGTTGATAATAACTCTCTAGTGGTAGATGTCTTCTATACACGGACAGAATAACATGACATGTTGATAAGAACTCTCTAGTGGTAGATGTCTACACAATGTAAAAGTTTATACACATGTATATTAATTTGTCTTTTGATAAAGTGTGTACAAATAAATACCGATAAATTATAATTTATTTAACACTTAGATTCTAAATTAAATTTTTTCTTCAAATTTAGATAGTATTTTAGTAAATACTATATACATGTTTTAGTAAATAAAATAAACTTTATATAAATATTGTTATATTTATTTAGCTTTTATTTTCTGTTAATTGCATAATGATAATTTAAATATGTATAAAATTATATATTTAAGGGAAAAGAAATTTTACGTGCGTCTAACAAGCCTTCTACATGTAGAAGGACTTCTATATTTTATCCTTTCTCTTTCATGCCATGTCATTGTGTGTAGAGTCTAGACATTCACAGTTGGAGATAATTTTTATTGAACTTCTTTTACAATTCTATAATTCACATTCCACTGAGATGTTCATACCCTCTTTCTCTCTTTCACAGTCACACAAAAAACACACACTTACACACACACACGTCGGAAAAAAAATCTGCACCACCACCTTGCAGTCGTCGTCTTTCGCCCGCCGCCGACGACTGGTCGTCAGATCCCGTCGCCACTGCCCCCAACCAATGTCATGTCACAACCCTGCCTCCACGTCTCCTCATCATGGGTGAGGCGGTTGAAATCGCCGGAGAAAATATGCACCACCAACTTGCAACCGCCGTTTTCCGCCCGTCGTCAGCAACCGAACGTCAGATCCCGTTGCCAACCAATGTCATGTCACATCCCTACCTCCACGTCTCCTCATCATGGCAGAGGCCAGAGAACAAGCACTGAAGACCCT